TATTTATTTATTTATTTATTTATTTATTTTGGCAAAACTGGGGATTGAACTTGCTTGCCAGGCAAGCGCTTATTCTACTGAGCCATCTCCCCAGCAACAAAGTGTATTTTTAAAACAACTAATTTATTGGAGCAAATCTCACAAATACTTATTTAATATTTGTTGTCACTGGCCACAGTTTGTTCTTTTTGAGCTAACAATGATTGTTGATTTGGGAGTCAACATACTGTCTTAAAATTGAGACTTACTATATCAAGAGTATTATAATTCTGTCTATAGATCTGCAGTATATTGAACATTTTGCTATATATTGAACATTCTTCATAATAAGTAACTTTCAGGGAAAAGAAAGATTGCAACATGTCAGGAGGGAGCAACACGTAGGCCACAGCAGTCTACAATTTTCCAAATCAGAAAGTACCAGATTGTAAGGCCAGCCCCAATACTCACACCAGAGAAATACATTACCAAAAAGAAAACCACAGACTAATATCTCCCACGAATACAGGTTTAAAAAAAACTGACAAAATATTAGCAACTTAGGGGCTGAGGATATAGCTTGTTAATGGAATTCTTGCCTAGCATATACAAGGCCCTAGGTTTGATGCCCACACCACTAATTTAAACATTAGCAAACTGACTGTGTAATAGCACATGCCTGAATCCCAGCACTTGGAAGGCTGAAGAGGAGAATCACCATGAGTTCAAGGCCAGCCTCGGCTACATAGTTCACAAACAGCCTGAACTACATAACAAGATTGTCTCAATACAATAAAAATCGGGATGCACAGCACTGAGGCCGAACTCAGATGTTGCTATAGGCTTTGGGGTGGTAGTTATGTGTGAAGGTAAGTTCATTCATTGCAATAAATGGTAGTATATATAGGGTCCTTCGGTTTCCTGTATGTACTCTTTCCTCATTGAGAAAGTGAATGCTTTGATTGTGCTGTGACCTGGCCAGTGGCAGACTGTTTCCAACAGGCTTGAGCTAAACTGAGGCTTTGAACTTCCTCAGGCACTGATAAACTTGTCAGGTTGCTGCTCAGAACCCTGAAGGAAACCAGCTCCAGCCCTGACCCAGTTCCTCAAACCCTCTTCCGCACTCTGCCCCTGGCGCCCATAGTGTGACAGAGCTTGACTGAGGCGGACCTCACTTCTTGTGTCTGTCATTGGCCAGGATGGGAGCAACACACTGTAAACTCCCCAAGGAACTCTTTAGATGAATCACCCTGATGTTGGGTGCATGGTACTGGGGTATTAGGTGCTTTTTTCTTCACAGTCTCAGCAGTCTCATCTCAGGACAGTGGGAGAGCACCTCCTGTGGAAACTCCCCTGCCAGCATCTTGGGGAGCATATTCTGTTGAGTTGAACAGTGTGCTGACAGTGGAGGAGGCCCTGTATCCAGAAATCTGTGTATCATCTGTTTAGTTTTGTTGAACTGCTACTAAAAAGTATGTGTTTAAGAAAGAACTCATACTTCCTGATTTCAAAACTTACTACAGAGCCGTAGTAATCAAAATAGGGGTTTGATCCCCGGCACCACATGCTGAGCCGCCCCACTCCCGGCATGCTAAGCCACAGAGACCCAGCATGGTGGTGCTGGGAAGGCTGAAAAGAGGAGGCTCTCTAGAAGTCCAAGCTGCATAGTGAGACCCCGTACCAAATACATAAAAAAAAAATTTTAAAAAGTAGTGTAGGGACTGGGGAGATAGTAGAATAAGCATTTGCCTGGCAAGTGCAAGGTCCCGAGTTCAATCCCCAGTACCACAAAAAAAAAAAAAAAAAAAAAAAAAAAAAAAGTGTTGCTGGAATAAGATTGACTTATAGGCCAATGGGATAAGAAGGTAAGATTGAGAACTCAAAAAAAAAAAAAAAAAAAAAAGGGCCGGGGAGATGGTTCAGTAGAATAAGTGCTTGTCTGGCAAGCGCAAGTGCCAGGTCTACATAGTGAGACCCTGTAGATCCTGTACTAAATGCAAAAATAAATAAATAAATAAATAAATTTAATTTAATTTAATTTAATTAGAGGAAAGGAGCACAGGGGAAGGAAATTTTAAAAGAATTCAGTACTGAGGAGGCTGAGACCCTGTAGACCCTGTACTAAATACAAAAATAAATGAATAAATTAATTAAAAAGAAATAGAGGAGAGGAACACGAGGAAGGGAATTTTAAAAGAATTCAGCACTGGGGAGGCTGAGACAGGAGGATCCCTACAAGTCTGAGCTTTGTAGTGAGACCCTGTACCAAATAAATAATTTTAAAGATAAAATATTTTAAACCTTTACAGGAAGTTTGTAAAGGCTTGCCACAGATAAATTGAATTATCTGTGAATAAATTAGAAATTAAAACAAAAACCACCCAATTTTTATAGAAACAAGCATAAATGATCAAGAAATAAATTATTTTTTAAAAAAGTAAATTATTTTTTTCTCTTTTTGAGACAGGGTTTCACTATACAGTTCAGACTGGCCTTGAGCTCACTTTGTAAACCAAGCTGGCCTCAGCCTTGAAACAATCTTCCTACCTCAGCCTCCTCAGTTCTGGATTTACAGGCATATCCCACCACACCTCACCTTTTCTTTTTTTTGAGACAAGGTCTCACACTATAATTCAAGCTGGACTTGAACTCACTATGTAGTTAAGCTGGCCTTAAGCTCATAGCAATCTTCCTGCCTTAGCCTCTGGAGTGGTGGGATTACAGGTGTGCACCACCACACACAGCCTAAATTTTGGTTTTCAGAGACAAGATCTTGATGTGTATTCCCAGCTGACTTAACTTACTATGTACTGCAGGCTAGCTTTGAATTTGAAGTGATCCTCCTGCCTCAGCCTCCTGAGAGTTGGAACAGAGGCATGTGCCACTATGCCCAGCTTGAAATAAGCTCTATTGTAGTAACTACTACACATGAAATAAATGTCCCAGCTATATAGATAGATGCAAATAAGTAGAATTGTCTTTTCTTTTTTTGGTACTGGGGATTGAACGTGGAACTTTGCACTTGCTGGGCAGGCACTTATGCCTCTGAGCTATATCTCCAGCCCTTTTTTTTTTTTTTTTTTTTTTTTTTTTTGAGACAAAACATTGTACACTTCAGGTTAGCCTTGAATTTACTTTTTTTTTTTTTTTTTGGTACCAGGAATTGAACTCATGACCTTATGCTTTCCAGGCAGGTATTGTATCTCTAAGCTATATCTCTGGCCCTTGAACTCACTTTGTAGCCCAAAGTAGCTTCAAACTTTCAACAAACCTTCTGCTTCTGCCTCTCGACAGCTGGAATTACAGGTATGTGCCACCACACCTAGCAGGAATTGCCTATTTTATTCTCAGTGGAAAACTAAAGCAAGACCTTCCCTAAATCTGTCAGTATTCTTCTGGCAAAGCCCACCAGGAACACCTCCACAGTTGAATAACCTAGGTTTAGTACTCTTGCACAGTGGCACATCTCAGTGTACTAGAAGTAGGGCTCATGGGATTTGTGTCTGGGTTCAGTGATCTGGGGAAGGACTTGGGAACTGGGGCTTCACTCTGGATTGCATGCTGTCAGAAGCAGGGGCTAGGAGGAGGGCAGACTAGACAGAGGCTGATACTATAATCAGTAAAGAAAAAAGTGATCTCACTTTATTTTTTATTTTTTTAAAAATTTTTATTTATTTATTGTGTGTGTGTGTGTGGCCAGCTCAGCCCACCAGGGGGCGGGGCTGGCTGGCGCTGGGGGATTGAACCGCAGTCCCTGTGCTTTGCTAAGCTTGTTCTAAGTAGGTGCTTTAGACCACTGAGCCATCTCACCAGCCCCAATCTCACTTTATTATCCAAGGAAGAGGGACATCTTGTTGTTTTCATCATCAGGACAGTGCTCAACTCTTTCTAGTGCTGAAACATGATTGTACAGGTTTCCAGTCTTGCTTCTTCATAGTCACAGAGTGACCTTGTGTGATGTTGAGGTTCTGTGATATTGTATATGTTCAATAGAATAGCAGGGCTACTAGAAAAGAAAGCAAATTACAAGATACAAAGCCAAAAATTATCACTATTTGGAAAAGACTAATTTTAATATCTCAGGGGCATAAGTGCCTGCCTGGCAAGTGCCAGGTCCCAAGTTTGCTCCCCAGTATTGTGGGGGGGGGGAAGGACTAATTTTGGAGAATTCAATAAAATAAAAACTATTACAGATTAAAAAAATCTTTTGATATCTGGTTAAACAACTAAAATATAAAATGTAACATCTTTACAGAACCGTGAGTGTTTTTTTTTAAATCTATAAATTGATACAATTGTAATCCAAATAGCCAATTTTATATCTTTGTTGTATGGGAGAACTTGACAAAACATAACTTCGTTATCTGAACTAATGATATTACAGAAGAATTAAACCAAAAACAGTTTTGCAAAACCTAAGACATAATGAAAAAATATTTATAAATCTTACTAAAAAACATCCGCGGTACAAAAATCACCCCATAGTTAGGTCTGTAAGACAAAACACAAATGGTGTCCCTAATAACTAAAAATAATAGCAGGGTGTGGTGGCGCATGTCTATAATTTCAGTACTCAGGAAGCTGAGGTAGAAGGATTGCCTGAAATAGTACTTTTTTACTATTTATTCTTTATTATTTTGTTATTTTTATTTGAGTAGTAGGCCAGCCTTGGCTACATAGCAAGTTCAAGTTCAGCCTGAACTACATAGAAAGACCCTGTCCCGAAAAAAAAAAAGACAACGTGTTAACCTACATGAAAAGGGTACTCCCGGGGCCGGGGACATGGCTCGGAGGAATAAGTGCTTCTCTGGAAAGTGCAAGAGCCTGAGTTCAATCCCCGGGTCTGCCAAAAAAAAAAAAGAAGAAGAAGAAACGGGGGGTTACTCTCCCGAGTCGTTTTAAAATTTTACAAAGAACACATCTATCATTTTTTAAAATGCTAAAGAGCTGGGCGTGGCTCGTAGAAGCCCAGCTGTAGGGACTACGTTTCCCAGGAGTCTCTGCGCTGCCTCCCGACAGGTCCCGCGCACTTCCGCGCCAGCTTCGGCTTCAGCCTCAGTCTGAGAGTGGAGGGGGATGGATAGTAGCGGCGAGTCCGTGGTGGAAAAACAACGTGTCCACGTGCGCCCCGCCACGCTGCTCAACGCCGCCCCAGCCGTGCTACACCTTCTTCCCTGCGAGGTCCTAGCGAACCGGCCGGCCCCGGTTCAGCGTTTCTTCACGCCAGCCATCCGCCAGGGCGAGGACGGTGAGCCGTGCTGTCCGCCCGCGCTCCCGGCAGCCCCCGCGTCCCCCTGGACGTTCCCCGCCCGTGCCGCCCTATAGCTCCGTTCCTTTCCTGCAGGCCTCCAGGTGTCATTTCGTGGGCGCAGTCTGCGGGGCGAGGAGGTGTCTGTGCCGCCCGGCCTCGAGGGATACGTGACGGTGACAGAGGAGAAGGGAGAGGGACTGATAGGGAAGCAGGACTTCGGCGGCTCAGAGAACAATGGCGAGAAAGAGGAGCAGAAATCGCTGGAGCGGAGCTTCGTGAGCAGAGGGGATGGGGTTGGCAAGAGGGCAGACTGGTGTGGCGTTTCCTTTGCTGAACCAGGCCCCTTCCCCAGGACCGGTTTATGGAAGCCACCGGCAGCTTCAGCCGCTTCACGGTGTGGGGCCTGGAAACCGTCCCTGGCCCATACGCTAAAGTGCGGGGCGCCCTAGCTTGGCCCATCCTCGCTGCAGCGGTGAGTAGACGTATGGGCTCACCTTCCAGGACTAGTCCCCCCCCCCCTCATCTTTTTGTCCCAGTGGATTTGGGGCGTTAAGGCTGGGGAGAACAAAGGGGTGGATGGAGCATGGCTTGCCCTCCACTTTTTGGTTTTTTTTGTGGTACGGGGCATTGAACTCAGGACCTTGCACTTGCCAGGCAAGTATGTATTCTACTGAGCTATCTCCCCAGCCCTTTGCTCTCCACTTTTTTGTGGCCTTCCTGAAAGGGTCCTGAGCAGCTGGGACCCTCCCCAGGTATGTGTGCTACTGGCTGCTGAGGTTGAGAAATCACACAGCAGAGGTGACTTCTGTTGCAGATTCACGCACAGGTGCCCGAGGACTGAGAAGAAAGCTTGGAATTGAAAGCTGTCAATCCCATCCCACACCAGAAGGCAGTTTTGTGGAGCCATTGATTCCATCAGCCCAATAAAGGAGCTTATGGCATCTGTGAGTCTGGGTATGTTAGTGCCCCCAAGCTAGTATGGCTACCTCTCCAAAAATCCTTGGTGGCCCTGGCCTAAGGAAACAATTTATTGCTTGGGACAAGGTGGAGTGGGCAAGAAATCTGAATTTTGCAACCACACCTGTAATCCAAGCACTCAGGAGGATCTAGTCTAGGGGAGTTTGAGGCCATCCCGGACTACATAAGTCTTATCTCAAAAACAAACAAGCAAAAGATAAAAAAATGTTTGCAGTCAGTACCTACCTGATCCCCAGCATTTACTTTATAAAAGAAATTTTTATAATCACCAGCCTTCTGTACATAGTGCCCCAAGCCCCATCACACTGTACACACTGCGGGGCAAGGAGGTGTCCGGCTGCCCGGCTCCCTCTGGTCCCTGGTTCATTGTGGGCCTGGGCTTGTGGCAGCTGACCACGGTGCTGACCTGAGCCCTGGGTGGGCCTCGGTGCTGGCCCCGCCCCTCTTCTGGGAGCTGTATTCAGCTTTGCCTCCTGTGGCATGTCTCCTGGTAACCCCAGGGGGTTTGTGTAGCAGGCTGATGGCCCCAGCTCTGCTGGCTCATGCTGCTGTAGCAGGCAGTGCCTTGTCACCACTTTCCTCTCTTGCTCCAGTCCTTGGGAGTGAAGTGTAGACACTTGGAGTCAATTCGAAGGAGTCGCTTGAGCATTGCCCGCTCATGCCCATCCACGATGTCCTCTGATAGAGTAAGGATATACTGGCCCTGAGCAGGACACAGGCCAGCAAGTGGTCAGCTCACATAGGGCTCACTCAGCACCCACTCACCTGTCTCCCCAGCTTGCCTCCCTACCTTGTAGTAATTGATGAGGTTGAGGTACTGCAGGGTGGAGATGACATCCTCTTTCTTGATACTGGTAATTTCACTGATCTCGCTGTGGGAGGGTAAAAGTCAGGTCCCCTAAGGGCCTTCACTTGTCCCAGGAGCCCCAGGAACACATAGGCCATGCCATGCACCCCCAGGTAGGTGGAGCCAGGCTCACTTGATAGTGATCTGCGGCCTCTCTCCACTCTCTGACTTCAGTCCCATCAGGATCTCCAGGATGGTCTGGGACCAGTAACTTCTATAGGATAGGAGGCCAAGATCGGAGAGGGGCTTCTCAGGGGTCCCTGTCTTCCCCTCTACCTTGGAGAGTTCATAACCTAAAGTAATGAAGCAAGAGAGGGTGATTAAGCAGTCACACGTGCACATACGCAGTTTATGAGCATGTGCTGTAGAGTTTTGCTGCCTAGTTGCTAACCTGGCCCTTCCCATTGGTAATTCAGTGATATGGCTGTATGGCTTCTCTATTCTGCCTGTTTCTTCATGAAGGTCAATTCACCTGTGTGCCAAATATGGTAAAGGGCACTGACAAAGCAGCTATAGAAGGTGCTGAAGAGGCAGTGAAGACTCAAGGGCTGGCGTAATGCAGAGAAAAAGGCTTGTGGGAAGGTATCACCCGTTTTCCTGTGCCACCTCAGCCTCTGTGGCTGGGTGCATGAGGAGGAAACAGAAACAGACCCTCATCTCTGGCCACACCTGACAGAGCTTAAGTGAGTGGAGTTAATCTCTAGTTATGACTTAGGGATATCAACTGCTGTGGGACTTGTTGCTGAGCAACTGAGGATGCAGAGGGAAAGTGTGCCAAGGTCCTTCTGAAGCAGAGGGAGGCTATTCCTCAGAACAGGCAGCTGACCTCTACAGTAGGCCTTTGGCTCCTCCTGGGGCCCTCAGGCCCTGCAGAACCAAGGAGCCTTATAGCTATTTAGTATGGTTTTTAGTCTGCTGCCAGGGCCCTAGGGTGCCTACTGCTTTACAGGAGCCCTTCTTCACCATCAGTCTTAACTAGCCCCATGATGGATTTGAATCTGTTCTGGTTTTCCTGCACTTGTGTCTCTTACTGGTCATCTTCTCCTGATTTCAACTGGGCACCCTATGGTAAGAGAGAAAGCATGATGTCTGGAGAGAGGAACCACGAAGGGGAAGGGAATACACTTGGGATCCTCCCCAGCAGTTAGGTTGACACTGCATGCAGTTCTGATGGGCGCCTCAAGGCTATAACTGCCTCTACAGTCCCCTCAGTGAATACCTGTCTATGCTATGCTGACCTGGTGCTCCCAGTAGCCCCACCCACATCCCGTTTAACAGAAGTCTCCTGGCATGTTTGTTTTAAGTATTTGCCTGCTATCAAGCTGGGGATGTGACTCCCTCCTGGTACTATTTAACCAATAAAATTTCTCAAACAAATTGTGACTTTGGTCAGGTCAAGCATCTGTATCTTTAGCAGGTAACAGGCAAAGCCTCCCCCAGGCAGAGCTTTATTATTCCAAAGGCTCCTAGAGCAGTGAATGGAATGAGGATGAGAGAGAATCAAGGAGGCAAAAAACAGCATTGGGGATAGAGATACTGAGGGGAAGTGTGCCTTCTGGGCTTTAAAGAACTGAATCTGACAAAGGAGTAGGATACTTGGGCCTGGTGGTGCATACTTAAAATCCCACTCTGGGAGGTTATAGCAGGAAAACTAGAAGCTCAAACCCAGTCTGAATAACTGAGGCCATCTCAAAAACTAAAAAAAAAATAAATAAATAAAAAAGGGATACAGTTCTATTCAAAGGTGCTGGGTTTAATTTCTAGTAGCATAAAGGAGGGGACAGTATGTGGTAAATTAAGTTTGATCTGCTGCTAGCAAGGCTTATGAGATACTCGGGGATATATCACTGGCCCTTATCCAAGAATGTGTATCAAAACTTAGGCCCAGACAGATGAATAGAAGTTCTCTAAGGTACCCCAGGGCTTCAGAGAGGGCAGATAACTCAGATTTGGGAAAGGCTGGATAATATATAGAACCTGATCAAGGGATAGCACAGCCCTCAACCTAGTCCAGAAAGCAGGGTGGTCAGTCCGAGAAGGGAGAGGACCTTGATAAGAATCCCACCTGTACTTCTGTCTGGCTCCCTTAGTGACTGGGCTGCACAGACACCCAACACATCTGTGTGTGGGAGCTGATGGGTGGCCTGGCTCTGCTGGTCTGCCAGTACCTGGCCAGGCAGCAGCATACATACTCACTGAACTCAATGAGCAGCTTGCCATAGCCCCGGCGCTGATAGGGAGGCAGCGTCAGGATGCAGGCCACATTGTAGTCTTCTGTGGACTCCTTTTCCTGGAAGAGCAGCTGAGTGTGAGAGAGGGGCCTGGTTCAGGGTGGGCCAAAGCATATCTGGATGAGCACTGACCTTGGAAAAGTAGCCCACAATGTGGAAGCCCTTGCAGTCATACTCTGTCATGACATAGAAGAGGAAGGGGTCTGTGTCATAGTACAAGGTCTTGTGGTCGAGGAAACACTTGGCCAGAAGACACAGATTCTGGGAGTAACTCTGCAAAGGAAAAGGCTATTAGCATTCTGGGGAGCTTTATGTCCTAGCTGGGCAGGTACTGAGTACTGCTCCCTGGGGTCACGGTTTTGGCCCCAGACAGCTTTCCCATGAGGTATGGCCACCTAAGCCTTGCCCTTGGGGGCTGTGCCACACTCAGTCAACAACAGTGTCCCCGTGAAATGACACTCCAACAAGGCCTCATCAGAAGCTTTGCCTATGTGGCAGTCTAGGAAGTCTAGCTTCCCCGCTTAAAGACTGAGGTACTATAGTGTGGTGGAAGTAAGGAATTTTGAAATTTAGAATAACAACTTTAGCCCCTGACCCCAGCAAAACTATGAATCTTGTTACTTTATTTGCTACATACAGTTTCCACATAGTTCTTAAGCACGTGCTAGATACAACCATTTGGGCACCAGTGCCACACTTCCACCAACAGAATAACATCATCCCAAACTCCCAAGGCCTAGGCTGGAGCTTCCTGCCAGTTAAAAGACCAACTTCTCACTCACTGCCCTCAAGGCTCCAGACTGGAGAAGTCTCACTTTCAGCAGACTCTAGGTTTCTCCTTCCTTACTGGCACAAACCCAAACCTTGTATGTCTACTTCCTATTGACCTCAATCTTTTCACCTGAATTCTTGTGACAACATGGTCTCTGCTTGACCTTTTGACCAGTGATCTTTACCTTTTACACTAATTCTGTAGGTCTCTGTCAACGCTCAAAAGTCACCTCTGAAGCTTTGATTACCACCACCTTTGGACCCTGCTAACCCACCCTTGTTTCATCACTGCTCACATAAGGATCTGAGTAGCTGCTGGCATTGCCTTGCCACAGATCATGAGCTCTCAGAACACATCCTAATTCCTGGTCCTTTGTATAGCCTGTACCTGCCCTATGCAAGAATTCAATAAAAATAGGCTACACACACGTTTTCCAGAGCAGGAAGAAGCTGCTTATCTGACTAACCCCAGGCCCCACTGCCCCTCAACCACTGACCTTGTTCTTCCGTCCATCAATCTCAAAGAATGAGATGGTTCCCTTTCGGTATATCTCATTGCCTGGTGGGTGCCGCAGGTCACACTTGGTCTGAGGAAAAACGGGATCAGAGGTGAAGGTTGGGTTTGAGGTATTGGGAGGGCAGCCTCCCAGGACCACTCATACCAAGTGACGCTGCAGACACTTGAGGCTACGGCCATACTTCAGGCAGAACTCGCATAGGTAGAGGACAGGCAACATGGTGAGCTCCTGTGGGTATGGGGAGAAGTACCACGGCTTGAGGCGATGCCTGCCCAGCTCAATGCACTCAATGTTCTTCATCCGGGTGACAATGTCGTCATGACTCCTGTCAGACACCAAGCTGCCAGTCATGCGTGGAGCTGAAGGTATTCCATCTGAGCTGTCCTGGGAATCCTGCTCAGGACCGGTGGAAGACACCAGGTTACAGGGGGACAGCTCTGCAGGACACTGCAGCTCACAGCCCTGCCACGTTTCCTCTCTCAAGCATAATGGCAATTCTGTGGGGAATGTACCATAATCCCCACTTTCCAAAATAAAGAAACCAAAATCCTGGAGAAACTAACTTGGAAAACATCATCCAGTGACTAATCTGAACCATGTTCC